TGGGTGGGAAGTAGAGAAGCCAGGACATGAATCAGTGCCCATATGAGATGCCGGCTATTCAGGTGGTGGCTTTAACCACTATGCCACGGCACCATGGTGAAGTTTGGAACTCTGTGGAGAACCTCTGTTAAACCTTCAGGCTGCAAAGGTTTAAAAAAGTGCCTTAAAAATGTTTCAAGCCAGGCCCAATACGGTTTCTCTAAGTGTGCTAAAATAGTGTGTGCCTTTAATATCTATAATATCCACCTGTAGGATCTTATCCCAAGAAAACATTTGCAGGTGCTCAGAGGTGTTTAGTAATCAATGTGTCTTCCTGGTGCTGTTGATAGCAGGAACATTCTTGGAAATAATCACAATGTTCAGATCAAAAATGTGTTCGTCCTGGCATACATAAATTCAAGAAAATGCATTCAGTGGCTACCCAAGAGTGTAGGAAAGATTGATGGGGTTAGATGAAGTGAGACCAGGCTACAGTGTGTGTGTGTGTGTGTGTGTGAACATTGCAGTCTCATTTTTGAAGCAGAGAAAATTCCATGAAGACCACACTCAGAATTGCCCTGGTAAGTGCCACCTGGTTGTGCTCTCCCACTGGGCCTGGTCGCCATGGCCAGGTCTTTGGGAATGTTCCATGGGTACCTGACAGGTGCTTGCTGGACCTTCAGGAAAGCTGTACTTACCTCCTCTCCCCCCGGACTTCTGACAACAAGGACAGGGACCCCAAGCAGATGTTGTAGTCCGTTGCTCTGAGGGACACTGCAGGCTGTGACTTCCCAGGGTCTTCCCCACTCATCGGGGCAGTTCAGTCTCAGGCAGCCAAATCTGGAAAGTTCCTTTCTGCTGCTGGAGGAAGTCACAGCATCACACGGGGCATCATGTGACAAGACAGCATCTGAGCTCAGATCCCACCAGCACTTCTCACAAAGACTCATGGGATGAGTGTCCCACCCCTACGCCCCATTCAACTGTGGCCACCTCCCAGAGGTGCTACCTACAAATGACTTTAGGTACCCACCCTCTGAAGTCCCTGTCAGGGAGGTAAACTGGCAACATGAGCCTTGGCAGGGGGAACATTTAAACCACAGGTGGCACGCAATGGGTCTTAATCACTGTGAAAGGCATAGCATCCCATCAAATTGAGAGTCAGAGGGGTCATTGTGGACACTGACATTCCTAGGAGACCTGGGGACACGGTGTGACAGGATAGGACACAGCCCTATGAACTTGGGCGTGGCAGAAAGCCTGCATGGCCATGGCGTTCCCAGGGTTGGGCTCCGGGTGGCGCCATCCTCCTGCATGCTAGCCTAGATGATGCTCAGGGGCCCACACCTGTGACAGGAGCAACTCCTCTGACAACTTGTGTGCCCAAACCCTTCACCACTGCAGGGGTTCACCTGGATCAGCAAGAATCTGGATGATATCTGGGGGTCTGCCCTGGCACTGTCCTTTGCTCCAGCTAAACCCCATCCGTCTTCCCCAGCACTTCCACACCTGGACTTGCCCTTGCACCTGTAACCTCATCCAGCTCCCAGCCATGGGGCACTTTGCCATAAGACATTTTGGTTTTGGCTTGGGCAGAGAAATGTACCATTAGTGATTTAGTCTCCACCAGACATCTCTCCCTGATTGCTAGTCATGGATGATAATTAGCAACTATTAATTCCTGATCATTAACAAGCTAATACTTAGTGGTAATGGCAACGGGCTAATGATCTTCGTAAGCCCAAAGCTAAAGCTCCTGGGTGCTGGGCCCCAGGTTGGTGTTGCTTGTTGGCATCCGTAGCCCAGGAATCAGGTGGAGCTGCCTTTTTACTTATCCAAAAGCAGTGAGGGGATAGTTGACAGCTCTCATCTTCAGATTAGTTTTCTTCTTTGGTCATGGAAATGGTGCATGGGGATAAAATATGCATAATCTTATTACCCGGAAGCATCTACCATTGCCTGTTTCGGTTCATTTCTTCCCAGGCTGTGGATTTTAGACACAGTTGTTGATGCTAAACATGTGACTTTGCATTTGGCTTTGTTCATTTCATATTAGCGCTTAATCGTCTCTCTCCTGGCAGGCGCTTAAAGAACAGACAAACAACTGGACCGTGTGACTGTGATATAAGCAGGTCGCGGGGTGCAGACGCAGCCAGGGGCAAGGGGGACTTGAACAACTTCCCCAGTGACGTGAGAACCTGGGGTCCATGGCAGACTGAGTCCTGCCTATGACGTTGGGCAGGAGGGTTGTACACCCTCGTGCACAGCGGTGCACAGGAAGACTGTAAATAGAAATGTTTGTAACAGCGCTGTCTTCAGAATTCAGACATCCAGGCAGGCACTTCTCAGTCGCCCTGTGAGGATTCGCTGTGACGTGCCCAGGAGGATCCAGGAGTGGATCCCATTAAGAATGTTTCCTGCGCACACCCTCTAAGCAACCGCCTGGGTGATCTCAGTGCTTCTTCCCTCTGAACTTGACTCTCAGTTGGTGGTGGTGGTGATGCAGGGAGGTGGTCATCAGGTCAGCTGCCCCTTCTGACCTAGGCCGAGTCATAGTGCATCTCTCCCCACACCCAACACACACCAGAAACTGGAAGATGGGCCCTCTAGGGAGCCCAGTAATACCAAGCAATGGCTGTCAGGCAGAAGTTGGGCGTGTACAGGGAACATTCTCCGAATGCTGTGTCTCCTGAATCTCTGGATGCTCTACGTGACCTTCTAGGGCCCTTGCTGCCTCACTGCAGCAATTGAGCCCATGAATGTCTTCACTAGGGAGCTACTGTAGTCCAAACAAAGGCTTCAGAACGAGATCTGAGTTTAAATCCACAGTCAGTCTGCCATCCACCCATGAGGTCCTGCGAGCTACCCAGCAGGACTGCTTGCCCATCTGAGACATGGGGCTAAAGCTGCCTGTTAACTGGCTTGCTGAGAGGCCCTAATGAGAGGCATCTGTCAAGCGCTTTGCCTACCTCCTGATAGCTAATTGTAACTCGAGTGATGATATTTGGTTATGAGCTAGTGCCTCTATAACAGAAATGTGGGCATAGTTTTGTAATGAGTGAGATGATTGTGCTTCATCCCATGCAGTGTTCCATAAAGGTCTGGCACAGTCCAGAAATGGAGAGGACTTGATAGTTTTCCTAAGCCCTCACCTAGCTTAAGGGCCCAAAGTCACTGAGTTTGGCAATCAGGGTCACTTTCAGCCTTTTGTTTTGGGTCTTGTGTTTGTAGATTCTGATCCCTCCTGTCTCCACTTTCATGTTTCCAAATCAGTATGATATGAATGTTTTTCATCTCTCTGCTTAAATGTTCACATTGTTTACTCCGCTTCTGCTGAGCTCGGGCCTGTCAGCTCAGCGGGCAACAAGGACTTAACCATCGACGCTTAATCGTTACCCCTCAGAGCCAGCTTCTGGCCAGAGGCCTCAGAGGCCAGCTAGTTCTGAGTCACCCGCACAGTTCACCAGAGTGGACAGAGCAAGTCTTTTATCCCTCCAAGAGGCAGAGGAGGCCTTGGCTGTCAAAGTGGACTTCATGCAATGTGATGCCATTTTGTGGTCCAGGGAGATTGGGAAACACTGGAATAAACAAAGCTGGAAGGGCTTTTCTGACCTTCAACTCTGTGTGCAGTGCAATTTGTTGGGAGTTAGATACACAGCTCCCTGAACTTTTTTCTCACCAAAGAGCCCCCTTCTTCTAGTATGTTCCATGGGACTGTTGCCCTGTGGAATTTAATTTGGAAAGCATTTGCATTGCTTTTGCAAGGAGGAGTTTGGGAATGAGACAGAGCAAGGCACACCCCCTCACCCCACCCGCGCTAGCTGAGAGATCTTGTGATGCCTCTTAACCTCACCAGTCCGCAGCTTGCTCACCTGCCAATGGGGATGCTAATGGAGTTGTGAGCATGACCACCGGAAGTCAAGTGCTTGCACGATGCCCAACAGTAGTGAGTATTCTCCTGGATTATCTGGGAGGAAATGGACCTTGCAGAGTTATGTTTCTGTGTGACACAGACTTTCAGGGGCAGAGCTGAGTATATAACCCAGGCCTCCTGCCTCCCAGCCCTCTGCACAGTGTAGGGCTATCACCATCCTTGGGGCTCCAACTCCCTTTCCTTGGGTAGGTATGGGGTTGGGAGCCTCAAATGTAAGTGGCAGTGCTCAGCAAATAGCTCTAAAGGTGTCAGTCATCATGCCCCAGGCAACTGCCACTTCCCACCCACCTGTGCCCAGCCTTTCTCTGGGGCTCTGCGTAGAACCTGCCTTCTCCAGGCAGACTGCCCTATCACATCTTACCCACCCCACCACTGCAGATCGTGGCCCTGCCTGACCAGAGTCATGCTGCGATGCTGTTCTTTTCAGCTTGTGAATTCTGCAAGCAACTGGACCTCTGATTCCATTGCCTCTTCTGCAACAGCAAGCACAGAATTGTGCTCATAGCAGGTGCTTTATTCAATCCTCATGCTTGATCTGCACTGCCCTCTCCTGCCTCTGGACATGTTATGTGAGGAATGACCTGGCCTGATGGATGGGGAGCATGTGGGGGTTGCCTTTTGCTCTTTCCATCTTCCCAAAGCCAATGCAAGGGGGATTGTTGAGGCTCAAAGTCCTGCGTTCTCCTGCCTCACAGCATGATCATGTGCTTCATGCACTTCCTGTTTCAACTGAGTTTTGAGGTATAGGTGGGTGGATGGGTAGTTGAGTGGATGGATGGGTTGGTGGGCATGTGGATTGGTAGGCGGCCATATAAATAAAGGAAGGAATAAAAGAAGGAAGGAAGGACCAACCCACCAAGTGGGACTCCCAGAAAGAGCAAGCAAGTGGCAGGGGAAGAGGTGGTCCCTCTACCAGTGGCTTGGGCCCAGGGAGTTGCCCAGTGGTTTTTATTGTCCATTGACTTTAATCACTGCCTCAAGGCCCTTCATCTTGGCCTTCTCTCATCCATGGCCTCTACCATCTATTCCCCAAATCTTGCTGTTCCACAGCCTGCTCTGTGCTAGAGCCACCCAACAGATATCCGGAAAGATGAGCACATGTGGAAGGAAGGCCCTGACCCTGCTGAGCAGCGTCTTCGCCGTCTGTGGCCTGGGGCTCCTGGGCATTGCTGTCAGCACGGACTACTGGCTGTATCTGGAAGAGGGCGTGGTCCTGCCCCAGAACCAGAGCACCGAGGTCAAGATGTCACTGCACTCGGGCCTCTGGCGGGTCTGCTTTCTTGCAGGTGAGGGCGTCTGGGAGCTGGGACAGCCCTGAGCCTGGGAAAATCTGCCCCAGAGGCTCCTCCTTGCTGAGAGATGACCAAGAAATGCAGGGAAATTTACCTTGGCCATGCACAGTCCTCATCCTTGCCCCTCTCAGTGCTAGGCACCATCCTCCCAGAGGAGCTTCTCCAGGTAGAAAATGATGTCAGGACATGCCCTTACCCCCTCACCCCCTCTGCCATGGAGATGTAGCCAGAGACTGGATCCAACCCAGGTGCAAAGGGTACTGGCTCTGCGGGACCATGTGAAGGCACTCACATCAGATCTGCTGGAGAAACACCTGGAAACTCAGATGACTCTTATACCTACAGGTGAGGAGCGGGGACGCTGCTTCACCATAGAATATGTGATGCCCATGAACACACAGCTGACGTCCGAGTCCACAGTCAACGTTCTAAGTAGGTGCCTGCAGCTCCCCAGCCTGGGCTATTGGTTGGTCAGAAAGAAGCAGGACAGAGGGGAGATGCAGGGCGCCTAGCTTGTTTCTAAGATGATGCCCTTAGACCCAACTACTTGTGCTAGCCTGAGCTTGCTGGAGCTTGTCCTACAGATTAATCTCCCAGTGCCAGAGGTGGGTCACTGGCCTCACCAAGTCTGGCGACTCAGGTGAATGAGAAGGCAGTGAAAGCAAACCCTCTGGACCCTAAGTGGGCCAACTTGGCGGCTTTGGCTTCTCGAGAATTGGTTCTGACTCCCAGAGTGAACTTGGAGCGCTGCAGCACAACTCTAATAGTGATTACCTAGAGTCAGGTTCACAGTCTCTAGCAAAACAACTCATTCGTGTGCCAGCCACCAGTTCACAGCTCTCCACCTATACTTCCATCCAGTTGGTTCCAATTGTGTGGCTACCCGTGGCCCTCTCGGGACCAGTGACTTGCTAGAATGATTCATGGAGCATGGGGAAGTACTTTGTTTTCCCTTGTAGAAAGACTCTAAAACCTGGCAAATAAACACAGCACTGGGCCTGGTAGTGTCCCAAATCTTGCTCCCGTGGAATCAAGACATCTCACCATCCTGACACATCAAGGCTTTCAGCAAGCAGGAAGTTTGGCTGAACTTTGGAGTCCAGGGTTTTGATTAAGATGGTGGAGTAGTCAGGCCCTACACAGCTGCCTATTGGCAGGCAGTGTAGGCTGCCAGGAGAGAAGTAGCTGATGATGCCCTGAGTAGAAAAGAGGGGCCACGAATGTGTTGGGATGTGAACTTCACAGCACTGCCCGGGGGAGGGAGCTGGAGTCCCGGGAACTCACCCAGGAGTGGGAGCTTGGAGATCCTGTTGGGAGCTGCTGCCTGAGGGAGGGTGAGCTGCAGGCAATGCCATTGGAGGCCAACAGGCTATCCTTTGTGTGACCACTCAGAAATGATCCGCTCAGCCACCCCGTTCCCTCTGGTCAGCCTCTTCTTCATGTTCATTGGGTTCATCCTGAGCAACATCGGTCACATCCGTCCCCACCGGACCATACTGGCCTTCGTCTCTGGCATCTTCTTTATCCTCTCAGGTAAGTTCTAATGCATTCTTGTCCTGCACTCTGGACTTGTGTAATCTCACTCCACAAGAGCTCTGCTTGGGGCTGTTCTGGTCACAGATGTGGAACGTCCCTCCCCATCCCCCCGTTACCCTCCCCATCCCATGCCTGCACTGAAAATGGGACAAACTGAGTCAGGAATTGAGTCACAGCTGGGAGGAGATCATCCATGAACCTGGGCCTGGCAGGGGTGACCCAACAGGCTCTCCCAGAGCAGAGCTGGGATTGGGATCCAGGGCTCTTCCTAGTGCTACACATTGGTCCCACTTCCTGTTCAGTCCCCATTGATACTGAGTGTTCCTCCCCTAGGAGCGGGCATGTCTTCATGTTTTTCCATGAAAATGAATACAATCTGCCCTTGGAATAAAGGCCTCTTTACCTCCCGATCCTCAGCTGTGCTCAGGTGCTACTATTGTCCTTTTCACTCAGTAGTCACTTCCCAAGCCCTGGGCCTTGTAAGGCTCTTGCAGGTTGTTCTTCATTCATTCACTAATTCATTTCATTTATTCATCATGTCTCCCAGGGTGGTGGCTGCATACAGGAAAAAATGTAATGGGAAATCCAGGCAAATAGGCAGGAAACGGGAACCCAGTTGTCCCAACTGGAGAGCTCACGGCAGGACTGCTGCAGGGACCATGAGCAGTGGCTGGAACTCAGACCAAGGCTGGTCAGGGAAAGCCACCAGGAGAAGGCAAGCTAAAGGATGAGTCAGAAATGAGTGAAGAGAATGTGGAGGAGAGAAAGCATGAAGTACTTAACCACTACGTACTGTGGAAGGGGAGGAGCAAAACTGGGGAAGGCATCCATGGTCGTCTCATGGGTTTAGAACTTTACAGAAAGCCTCTGAAGAATTTTGAGCCATCAGATGATGTGATCAGATTTGGATGTTAGAAGTGGAGAGAGAGAAGCAGGAGAGGATTATGAGACCAGGGAAGAGATTTCAACAGCACAGGGTGATGCTGGAGCCAACCAAGATGCTGGTATTGAGAAATGAGAGAAGTCAAGTGATGACTGAAAGGTAGACACATCAACGTTAGACATCCAAGGGACGAGTCAGGGTAGGTGCCAGTTCCTTGCTTGGGCACTGGGTAAGTGGTACAGCGTGTCACTGGTTGCGGAATTGCAGGAGAACGACAAGTTGGGACAAAGGTCGTGAGTTTAGTGTGGCATATGCTGAGTTTGAGGTGCCCAGAGGCTGCTAGAGGTCAGGGTCTGGGCTTCCTAGGAGTGATTGGGATCAATGAGAGAGATCTGGGAGCTATCACTCTGGGGGATAGGAGGAGAAGGAGCCACAGACAGGGATGAAGCTGCTCACTGGGAGTAGAGTAAGGAAGGAGGAGAACATGGTAAGGCAAGAGAGGCCCTTTCCCTGACCAAGGTGGCCTGTGCATTTTTTATGGAGGAATTTTTCTTTGGAGACAATGATTTGAAGGTAAAGAAGTGACTCTCAGACTATGTAGTCTGATTGGTTGGTTAGGGATGTGAGGGACTGGGGAAAGATGGCTTGGATGAAAGATGTGTGGATGAATGGATGGATGGGTGGATGGATGGATGAGTGGACAGTGGACAGATGGAAGGATGGGTTGATGGATGGATAAGTGCATGGATGGTTAAGTAGATGGATTAAGGAGTGCATGGATGGATGGATGAATGGTTGAGTGGATGGATGGACAGATGGAAGGAAACAGCTGTTGGACATGAGGCATTCTAATTGCCACTTGACTCCCAAGTCACTTTATGATCCTCTCCCAACATATTCTTGTCTGAATAGCTTAGGAGTCAAGTGACAATTAGAATACATGATGCCTAAGCATTCCCTCCTTCCTTTTCCTTCCATTTATCCACCCATCCATATGCACACACCCATTTTTTCCATTCATCTAATTTTCAGTCTTCCCACTCATCTTCCATTGTTCCAATCATCAGTACAACACATACATACTGAGCACCTGCTGTGTCGTCAGTTTAGCCTAACAGTGATGCTTCCATCCAGTCAAAAAGTACAAATCCAAGGTGAAGTCATTTTTACTTCCTTCCTATGAACTTCATAATAGCTAAACCTACACAGAAGCTGTAAGATGTGTAAGATTTTTAGGAATTTGGCTACAGGATCTGAAATCTAGGAATGAAGGGTGGACATCCCACATCGAGCACTTGGGTTCAAATGCCAGCTTTACTCCTCATTCCAGCTTCCTGCTAATATATACCTGGGAGGCAGCCATGATGGCTTAAGTAATTGAATCCCTACCACATAACATGTGAAGCCTTGATCGGGTTCCCAGCTCCAACCCAGAGGCAGTTGTGGGCATTAAGGGAATAACTAGTGCATGAGAGATCTCTCCCCCTCGCTCCTCTCTCTGTCTCTCTCTCTCTCTCTCTCTCTCTGTGTCAGATAAATGCATGTTTAAACATTGTTTAAAGAAATCCAGGATGGAGCTGGGCCATGTGAAGCCATTTTGATGATAACAAAGTGGCTTTTGCACCATCAGTGACCCCAGCATGAGCGAAGTACCCAGGAAGGTTTGAATGGCACCTGCTTTCCCTTCACACTCATCCTTCAAAGCAGCCCCAGTTTCATAACAGAGTGTGAATGGGATTGAACCTGAAAAGCTTGACACAGAGTAATTAATTATGTCCTGATTCAATTACAGTGATTAATTGGTGGGACTAATGCCTGTGGCAGTCATCGGTACAATGCAGTAGGAGCTTGGGGACCCACTGGCATTGTGACTTAATGCTTGTCAGATCTGGATCAACTCTTGTTACCTTTATGTCACAAGATCTTGGATGGACCCCTCACTCTGGTCTGATGGGCTGCACAGACCACCAGCCAGGGTGCATCACTTGCTACTGAAGACAGGGATTGGAGGTCCCGGTAACCCATGAAGGGGGCCCGACTGGTCCCTCAGTTTAGCAAAGGCCACTTGAGGGCTCAGTGGTTTGCAGCTCTGGATTGTATTGATGCTACCTAAATGTTTTTAAGAATATATGATGGAGCCAGTGAATGCTGTGAATGGTTAAACCACCTTCTGTGACACCAGCATGCCATTTGAGCTCCAGTTGAAGTTTCTACTGCTCCACTTCTCATCCAGCTCCCTTCTAATGTGCCTAGGAAAATAGCAGAACACTGGGACTGTCACTCACATGGGAGACCTGGGTAGAATTCCAGGCTCCTGGCTTCAGCCTGGCCCAGCCTCAGCTCTGGCGGTCATTTGAGGAGTGAACTGGCAGATGGAAGATTCTCTTCTCCCTCATCTCCCCACCCCTCCCTCTCTCTCTCTGTAATTCTGCATTGCTAATTAATTAATTAAAAAAGAAGAAGAAATGAGCATACAGTGCCAGGGCTGTCATAGGCCAGGGCTGGGGCTCAAGCAGGTAAGTCTGAGGGGAGTTGACAGCTGGGGTCAGTGCAGTTGGGCTCAGCAGGTGACTGGGCAGGGAGCTTGCCTGCCTGCACTGCTGTCTTGAAGCTGCTACTCTTGACAGGGTCCCCAGCAGGCAAGCTCCTGCCTTCCGTTGTACTTGCATAGCTAGGCATGGAGGCCACACCAGCAAATCCCCCAGCACCTGTGCTGAGCTGGTCTCCTCCCCTCCCTGCCCTGCCCCAGGCCTCTCACTCGTGGTGGGCCTGGTACTCTACATCTCCAGCATCAACGACGAGATGCTCAACAGGACCAAGGACGCCGACTCCTATTTCAACTACAAATATGGGTGGTCCTTTGCCTTTGCCGCCATCTCCTTCCTTCTGACGGAGGTAACCCCATCCTTCCCACCCTCCCCCAAGCCAGGGCTGGGTGCTGCTCTGGGCCAGGGACACCAGGACATCTGGGCTTGCCCACCCGTGTCCCTCGCTCATCCCAGGTCTCCTCCACTGAGGCAGAGTCCTCAGGGCCCTGCCCCTAGCCCCCCATCCATGTCCCACCTGCACCAGTCCTCTACCACAGTCGTAGTCTATGCTGACCCCCCCAACTTTGAGCTCTCCTCTCCTCCTCTCCTCCTAGAGTGCGGGGGTGATGTCCGTGTACTTGTTCATGAAGAGGTATACCGCTGAGGACCTGTACCGGCCTCATCATGGCTTCTACCGCCCACGCCTGAGCAACTGCTCCGATTACTCGGGCCAGTTTCTGCACCCGGATGCCTGGGTGCGTGGCCGCAGCCCTTCCGACATCTCCAGCGACGCCTCCCTGCAGATGAGCAGCAACTACCCAGCCTTGCTCAAATGCCCCGACTATGACCAGATGTCCTCATCTCCCTGCTGAGCATAGGTCACCTGCCTCGCTGCACGGTGGACAGTGGACTGCCCTTCCTGCTCCCAGTCCCCACCCCTCACCCTGAGCCCTAAGACCATGGTTCACAGACCCAAGCCGACCCCCAGCTTAGCTCTTGTTCCTTGGCCTGAGTCCTCTCCCTCCTTCTCCCAGAGTAGCTCTCACTGCCTGGTGTCAGGACTCTGGAGCCAGCCACCCCCACCTCTCAAGTAGTCCATCACAACCTAGTCCACAGGAAGCCAGCAGCTTCTTTTGCATGGTCGAAAGAGGCCACTGTTGGCAGGTATGCTTCTCCCTGAGCTCCCCATTCCATGGCCAAGGCCTAATCCAAGTCATTGTATAGACGCAGTGGGACTCCAGGGCTTGCCCGCTGACCAGGTGGTGCTCACCTGCACTGGCTGAACTGTGGAGCCACAGGATGACTGATGTGAGGTCTGGCTGGCTCAGAAGTCAGGCAGGCTTGACTCCTACTAAAACCCTTCATTTTGGTTCCCCTGGTCCCACACACAGCACACCTGATTGTTCTGTCCCTCCTCCCTCCCTTTCCTCCTTTCCCTGCACCAGAACTCAGCTGGGAGGAGGGTCGGAGACCCCTCTGATGGCCAAGGAAGTCACACAGGAGGTATTCATGGTCAAAGTTGTGTTCATACCTATGGCCCTTTGGTCTCCTATTGAACTGGGGCCATTCCATGCCTTAACCCAAAGCTGGGACTATGACTCTGATGATTGGAGAGTTTGGCTTGGCTGAGTTCATACTCCCTTGGGCACTGTGTCCAGCCCTGAGGATCCTGACCCTACTTGTAAGGAACAGGACTTGCACTGCAAAGCCCTCCACTGGGATTATGTAGACAGGTGCCTCTACCACCAAAGTAGAAAACAGCTTTCCAAGAGGCCACCTTGGGCATGGGAATGGAGCAGGTGACACCTGGTGCAATTTGATTCTAAGAGAGTCAAACCAGAGGTGCCCCTCTGCCTTGCTGAGGAATCCCACGGACACATGGGAGTCGCCAAGTTCATCCTATTTTTCTTAGAGGGGAGCCTCTAGCTTCCTGGGTAAGAAATATCTATAGGCAAAGCAGGTGCCATCCAAAGAGGAGACAGGGTGACACCATTTTCCTCCTGGGAACTCTGAACTGGGAAACTGGAAGCAAATTCCTGGGTATTGTGGGTGAGGAATTCAATGCAAGGAATCTTGGAAAGATGGAATTTAGTGAGGAATAGGCAGATGTTTGGGCAGCTGGACTTTGTCATTCATCTCTCAGCTTGTAGAGGGAAAAGACAAGAGAAGGCAATGGCGATCCCGGCTCAGCTACAAACCCACTGGGAATCCTCAGGTGACCCCTCTCCATGTCCCCCAGATGTGAATTGTTTTCAAGCCCAGCCCACTCCCCTGCACCACCACCCCAACTCCTGTGACCCCATCTCCTGCAGAAATCTCTGTGTGGCTCTTGTTTGAGACTTTTCAACCCTCACCTCTGAACAAATAGCAACCGCCAACCCCCGGCAACCCTCCACATTAGCACCTTACAATGGTTGTGGCCCTTTAGTTACCGTTTACAGAACATTCCAGAAACCAAGGAATTAGCTCGTGTGCTCCAAGGCCCCTCAGTAGCATCTCTAGCCCTCCCATGTTTGTCGATGTCATTAGCTACTCAGATGTTTCTTTCTTATAAACTCTTCTGTGTCATTGTGCCAGCGTTGTTTTTCTGCACACAGGAAAAATAGAATGCACTTCTCGGATCTAGCTAATGGTTACCTAGCATCAGTGGGCTGGGCCCCAAGAGGTCAGGATACCCAGCGGGGGCGTGCAGGAGCTCTCACCCTGGGCTTGTGTGGGTCACACTGAACCTGGGAATAGATTCTGGGACTTAGACTTTATCAATAATTAAGCTACCATGGCAGTTTTCTGTCTTGAAATTTATCTCAGAATCAGGGCTTGTTTGCCACCTCTGGAGCCCCCAAACTATGTTTGTCAAACATTACAGAGCATGCCACTCAATTCGGAAATCACAGATTGTTCTTCCATGCGTTTGTGGATATTTTGTTTCTTCACGAGCTATAGAAACAGTATTTGGGGCTGGGTAGTACCCACAGTAGTTAAGGTACCTGTGTGCCATATTGGAATGCCTGGGTGTGAGTCCTGCCCTTCAATTCCAGCTCCTTGATAATGCAGACCCTGAGGACCGTGAACTGAAGGCTGGGGAGTTGGATTCCTTTCACTCACATGAGAGACTAGGAGGAGTTCCTTCCCTTGCAGGCATTTGGGAAAAGAATGAGTGAATAGCTTGCTCTCTCACTCTTAAATTTTAAAAAAGTTTAATTCCATGGAAAAATAAAGCTTCAATATACAATTATTTGTATGCAAAAACATTTGGATGTGTTTTTATTTTTTTCCACCCTTACAAAATTAATGATATAGACAAACAGCAAAATATCATCCATAATGGAATAAAGTGACACAGGGATGCCAGCTACCAAAAGCAAAGAATCCTGAAATTAGTTCCCTCCCTTCTGGATCTCACAACCTCCTTCCTGTCCCATGAGTAACACTCCCTACCCCCAGCCTCACCAGGTGTGCTCCGGAAAAATCGCCTGTCGCCAGTACCATGCACAGAGTTGAGGAAGCCACCTACAACAACCCCTCTGTGACCCCAGCACCATGCTGCTCTGTCTTCCTCCTCCTCTCCCCAGTCTGTCACCTTGCCCATGGCCCACCCTCTCCTCCACAGCAGGAGAAGTTGGAGGGAAGCGGGCAATGACTGACACTGGCCTCCATTCCACCTTGGCACACCTACTGGCTTGCATACCAATAAGTGCGATGCTTTCAACAGCTAGTTGAGTATTTGACTCCAACTGCTTTAAACTATGGAAGTATTTTATTTTCACATCAGGATGGTTAAGAGCAGGTGTGGGCTTTAGCAGATTCATCCAGTGGCCCTAGGCATTAAGGGCCAAGCCTTGGCCATCTCTTGGTTGCTCTGTCCAGGAGATGGACTTTATCCTCGAGTTAGTAGCAAGATTATGACAGCAATTCCAAGTATGACACATCAGAAATTGGGCACTGCTTCCCAGACGTCAAGTCCACGGCCAGTTCCGAGTCTCCCTGCTCCCACACTATTTTCCTGGTGTGCCAGGAAGAGCCTGTCCCGGAGGATGAGGATGATGGCCTTCAGCATTTTGGAGCCGTGATGCTGTCAGCGTCAGGACCCAGGCCAGGCAGGACTCAGAAACAGCCTGACCATCTCAGAGCTCCAACCAGAGTCCCGGCCATTCCTCACCATGGGACATTGAATAACTTGTCTTGGACTCAGCGATCATCAAAAGGGCAGGGCTCAAGGTCATCGGAGGTTTCAGGTCAGGCACTGAAACAACTCTGTTTCACTTTATTCTCAGCAGACTGAACTTGGCTTAACTTTTAAGTCCACCCACACTCACCTACTCTGCTAGATGTAATCCAATCAGTGTGAAAACCTTCTGGGGTCTGGTTAAAAACACTATACATTATATAAACTGTAAAGTTCTCTCCGAATTAAGTTATTTTTATTACAAAATAGTGAAGAGCGCACATTAAATAAATCCCACAAGAGTTTCCAGCAGTTTTCTGTGTATGTGTCCTACAAGGTCAGCCACCAACTTGAACTCTCCATCTGGAGTCCAGACTCCATTTCTCATGAAAGTCAGTAGATGCTCCCATTTCAGTTCCATCTTCAGCAGACTCCGTCGCCACCAACACAGGTGCAAGCCCCCATCAGTGTTGTTTGGATAGAGAAGGTGACTTGCAAGCATTGGATGAATAACCTTGTTTATCTTATTCACAGACAGACCCTGCAACCTCAAGTGATCCAGAGACTGGGTCATGGCCACCCAATATTTGCAGGACTGTGCAAAACCTGGTGTAAGTGCACCCCAAATCTTGACACCTATAGTTCTAAATGCACCCACTCCCTTAATCAGAGAAACAGCCCAGATTCCCACCCAAAAGAAAAGTGGGAAGGATGCATCTCAGCAAGTGGAGAGAACAGTGATGTGTTGTTCCCCCAACAGCATTTTCACGTTCACTCTGGCCCTTCATCTCCTGTCACTGCTCATGATGTTTTCCAGCTTTGGGTGTGGCTGCAGACGCCTGAGGCTGGGCTGTGATGGAACCTCACTGCATTGTTCCTTGCCAGCCACTGGAGGAAGACTGCAGACCTGTGTACCAGCTGATTCATAAGCATGTGGCCAGGCATACCCCAAGTGCAAGCCAAGTGCTGGAGGAGTCAGCTCAGACCCTGGTGAGCCTCGGTGGCACAGTCCAGCCTCTGGACTCCAGCATCCCAGTTGGAGGTACCAAGTCCTGATCAGGGTGGCAAGACTCCGGCAAGCTGAAGCCCACCAGTTAGAGAAGAGGAAGAACTGTTTCTTAGCCATTCGTTATTCCAGTGACATCCTCGAGAGAAACCACTTATGAAGGGAAGAGATTCGGTTTAGCGTAAGTTTGGAGGTTCACCGTCTAAGACTGGGTACCCCCCAACCTGGCTCCACTATATGATAAAGGTGGCAGGAAGAGTGGCTGAGCCTAACTTGGGCTTTATATCCAGCCCTGTCCAGGCACGCTGGTGGCTGGCTCTCATGGTCCTGCTCCCATGGGCCTTGGGACCTCCCATCAGGTCCACCCTCTAAACAACGTCACTGTCAAACTCCCATCCTCAGAACCAATCACATATGACCTTAGAATATATATTTTTGGAGGAGGGAAGAGGTGATAGCTTTAATCTTTTAATGCTCATTACAAATATAGGGGGTTGCAGACCCATGTAAGTTACTGGTAGGAATGCGGAGGAGAGGGCAGGATGGCAAGAGAGAAATGTGTCCACAGCAGGGGAGGGTGCATCACATCTTGGTTGTCAGACTACATTAATACCAGAGGATGGAGATGGCCTCTTGGTGCCACCTCAGGGGCCTCAGTGGGCAAAAGATTGTCCTAGGGGGTGTTACTTGAGTAGTGCATGGGTAAGACTGACATAAAGTCGGGGAGATGC